ATAATAATAATAATAATAATATATTTTGACACTATATCATGACATGTAATATATCATACGATACATTACGTCATATTATGTGTTAGATCATCGTGTCTTGTAGTTTATTATGTTATACTGTATCATATCGTACCATGTCATATCCTACTATACTATTTTATGTAGATCTACCGATGAACCTTTCAGCAGCGCTTGATGGCTTGAAGTTTTGCCGCCCCTTTGGGCTTAACTCAGCCCAAGGTGCTTGGAGGCACGTGCCTTCTGCTTTGCGATGACATGGCGGCTCAGCTTCACCTACCCGGAAACTGCAATCCCGGTCCCCAGGCCTAAACCCTAAACCCTAAACCCTAAACAAATCTTATTGTCGCTGTGGGCGTTCGAGGTCTCATAGTTCTGGGCCTGGGGATTTTGGGGTTTTTCGTGCTTTGGGAGTTCAGTTCGGGAGGGGCCCAACTACACAGAACCCCAAGAGTAGTGAAGGCCGCTCCTCCCAAAAAAACCCGAATCCCCCAGAAAACAAAACAAGGTGACTGGCTTCCCGACAATGCACAAAAAGCCGTGACACTAGCAACAAAAGTATGGTGGGTGGCAAACCCTTCATCGGTGCAGGCAGTTCCATTGCACCGACCAACCAGGTGATATGTACATACATCTTATATATATATATATATATATATTTATTTATTTATTTATTTATTTATTTATTTATATGTATTTGTTTATTCATATCACATTACATTATATGCATATATACATCTAATAAAGCAACACCACCACAGTGCCTCCTCCTTTTCCTCCTTCTTCTCGGTCTTGTCACCTCCACATAACGCTTCGAGGTTTTCGAGCTTAGGGGGCTTAGGGTTTCGCGTCCAGGGTTTAGAGTCTCGGGCTCTGAGACCAGGCTGCCTGGGCACAAGCCAAGGTGTCCCTTGAGGGACATCCGTGCCGAAGCATTTACAACCGTTTCGGCACACGGATAGAGACTCCAACAAACTCGCGAACCTAAACCCCTAAACCCCGATCGAAACCCAGATTACCTCCAAGAATAAACCGTACATCTCAACCGGAGGAGGTGCCCAAAACCATGCGCAGCAGCCACGAGTCTTAAGTACGGGATTAATAGGCAGCGTTCTGAAGCCATCGACTGGGGAAGCCTCTTGGGGCCTCCTTCTTCGGAGCCCCTAAACACTCTATAAGCTTTACACCACCAAACCATGACCCCTAAGAACCCTAACAGCTCTAAACCCCGAGACCCCTAAACCCTGCAAGTTCACGTTTAAACAAACACACCACAGAGAAGAGATGGAAGAAAGAAAATCCCCCAAAGGGCCTCCCTTCTTCTTCTTGCCAAGGTCGAGTCCGTACTTCTTCTGGTAGTACTGCATGAAGGGGTGGGCATCGATCCTTGGAAAAACGGGAAGGTAGGAGTTCTTGGAGGAGGATTAGTAGCGGTCGTCGTCGCCGCCATAGAAGTAGAAGTCGTGGTAGTGTGGTAGTGTGGTAGTGAGCAGTGACAGCGGCAGCGGTAGGTGTAGGGGTAGCGGTAGGCAGTGGCGGTGGCAGCGGTAGTGGTAGTATGAAACCCGAAATAGTAGGATCCTGGGCGCAATTGCCCCGAAGCACGGGCCCTATTATGCCCTAAACCCTACACCAAATTATCTCCTAAAACCCAGGCAAAAACCCTATCAAGGGGTTTTGTACCCTCGACCCAGTGGTACTATGCCCTAAATTTAAACCCAAACATTGCTTCAAAGGGCTTGACCGACTCAACCTAAGCCCCAGAAACCCTCGCTAGCCAGAGCCCAAAAACCGTTACTTGAGGTGATCTTATCGAACCTAAAACCTTACAAACGATTGCTATTCCTATGACTACTCTAACTACTAAAATTACTAGAACTACTATAAATACGATAATTACTCTCATTACTATTAATTACTATAAGAAACCCTGGAGAGGTTGTGGCCTCTGGGTCCCTACGGATCCAAGTTGCTGGACGACAGTGTTCTTGAGCCTGGGACAGCCGCAGCTCCAGGGGGTTCTTGAGGGGTGGAGGATTTGGAGTGGTATAGAGCCTTAGGGCTTTAGGGTTTCATGATGGTGATGATGATGATGATGGTGATGGTGATAATGATGATGGAGATGGTGATGATGGCGATGATGGTGATGATGATGATGAGGAGGAGGAGGAGGAGGAAGATGATGATGATGATGACGATGAGGATGATGATGATGATGATGATGATGATGATGATGATGGTGATGGTGATGGTGATGGTGATGATGATGATGATGGCAATAACGACGATGATGATGATGGTGATTATGAGGATGATGATGATGATGGCAATAACGACGACGATGATGATGATGATGATGATGATGATGATGATGATGATGCGAGTGCGACCTTCATGGTGATGATGGCGTTGAAGATCTTGTTACAACTCTTGGTACATACGTACCATCAATAAAGCCATGCTGATTGGTAATGCTGGTGCGGTGCGCTTCCTGCTCGTAGTGTTATCGCCATTATTCAGGATCAGCGGACTCAGCATGCAGGCTTCGACTACTCGGCCACGCGTGGGAAATCGCCATATGTGCCGCTTGGTAGAAGCACCCGAAACCTGATTGAGCTGTCTTCAAAATCGTTGATCGGAGGCTGCGGTTCTGAACCCTCAAACCCGAAACCTGAACCTTACGAACCTCTCTTTCTGAGTCCAAGGGGCAAGGTCTTCGTGCGGACCAACTCGTTGCTTGTGGCGTTGTAGACCACGTCCAAAATCCTCACCTGGGGATTAAGGCCTCCTGGGCATTATCATGAAGGAACCAAGAAGGGTTCAGTAAGGGATCTATGTAGGGTTAAGGGGTTTAAGGCTTCGGGGCCGGGAGTTCAGAGTTTCGTGCTTCGGGCCCGAGGTTCAGGATTTGGAATTTCGAAGTTCACAGCCTGGGTTCACAGTCGCTTGAGGTAGGCGTTGTCGTGGTAAACTCCCTTGAGGATAAAACAGAGGCCTGAAAAGTAGAATGGGGCCTTGGTGTCTTCTTTTCTTCGTCGAATAAGAGCCAATAAAAGCGCCAAGACATAGCATTGGCAATTACTTCAGGCTTCCATACTACCTGCCGAACCTACAAGTACGAGGAATGAGAAGTAGCAGTAGGAGTAGGAGTAGTAGTAGTAGTAGTAGCAGCAGCAGCAGTAGCAAATGCAGAAGCAGAAGCAGTACCAGTAGCAGGCTCAGAAGCCGTGGCAGTAGCAGCTGCACTAGCACCAGCCTTAGCAC